CTAACGTCATACCTGTTCATAGAAAAGGAAAACGATATGACGTCAATAATTATCATCCCAAACATAAATGTGCTAAGTTTGAATGCTTAGTGTTCTGTGGTTAAATCTGGATTCTTCTCGAGTGGGTGATATGTGAACGGTAGAGGCCGTTAGAGACTTTTTGTCTGAAACTCGATGGGATGAAAGATTTACACATAAAACACTGGCAATACATCTTACACATATACTACATTATCAAAATCTTCTAGCTGAATTGCCTCATTTTATTTTTTTCATATTTTGATGTTGTTGTATCCCTTACTTTTTATCACTCCTACCAATGATATATATATTGATACTAAATGGTTCTATACTTCTAACTACTTCATGCAACAGCAGCAGGGTATGAACAGGGGGCACTAATGACTTGCAAAACAAAAAACAAAAAAACAATTGTAGCAATTTCTCTGTTTAATATATCATTAGGGCATTGCTTTCCTATTACTAATTAATTATGACTGACTTTTTAATATGAGCATTGTATAGCTAAAAATATCAATTAAATATTTATATGTAATTGAAACATACATGGAATTATCTCCCCTATACCATCTGCTATATATATATATATGTCTATGCTACCTATTATATATGATTTGCATCAATATTTTCTTACAAACCATTTCATTCATCTTTGTCTTTGTCATGTCAACCTAAGGAGAGAACTTTTATAGGCCTAGCCTGCTGTTCAATCCTATTGTTTACTCAATAAAATATGATGAAATTATCATCCCATATCTCTAATAAGTGTCTTATAGGAACAGTATTTCAACGCTGCATATTTCAATCAGGCTTCACACCCGGCGACTCTACTATAAACCAATTACTTAGTATATCTAATGACTTTGGTAAATCTCTAGACTCAGGCAAAGAAATTCGAGCAGTATTCTGTTATATCAGCAAGGCTTTCGACCGTGTCTGGCATCGAGGCATTCTTTTCAAACTTCAAAACCTTGGCATATGTTGAAATTTATTAACCTGGTTTGAAGATTATCTTCTTGACAGAAAACAAAGAGGTAATTCAAATAATTGCAGTTCTAATTGGGCATCTATTACTGCCGTGGTACCCCAAGGCTCTATCCTTGGACCTCTGCTCTTCTTGGTGTACATTAATGATATTGTGTATGGTATAAAGTTCATAATAAAACTGTTTGCCGACGATACGTCACTGTATATGTAAGTAGACAATACAATTACGACACATGCAATTCTGGAATCGGACTTGGAAAAAATAAATGCATGGTCACGCTACTGGTTTGTAGACTTTAACCCAAATAAATCTGAAACTATCCTCATAAGGAGGAAAAGAAACCCTCACAATCACCATCTCTTACATTTGAACCAAGTTCCTATAAATAACGTATCTTTCCATCAGCACCGCGGAGTCTTTTTCTCCTCAAACGGAAGTTGGTCAGATCATGTCAATTACATCATCTCTAAAACGTCACTTTTTTAATTATTGAAGCCGATCGAATTGTAACAGGTGCAACTAAATTAGTAAGCATCGACAAACTTTTTAATGAATCATCTTGGGTCAGTTTATTCGATCGGAGGCAAAATCATAAAATTATCCAGTCCCATAAAATGTTCTATCAATATACACCTGAATATTCTTATAGCCTTTTCACAAGCACTGTATCGGAAGGGCATCGATATGATACCAGAAACTCCGACCATACCTTTATTACTCCAATATTGAGCAAAACTTCCTTTTATAAGCAGTCATTTCTACCTTCTGTTATAGACCAATGGAATAGTCTTCCACAAAATGTACGATCAAATCCGTCTATTTCTTCTTTAAAATCTTATCTTGACAAGCAACATACTAAGAAAACGCCTACCTATTACAACGTTGGTACCCGCAAGGGCCAAATATATATCACGCACGACTACGACTGGAGTGCAGCTCCTTAAACGGTTATTTATTTGCTAAAAAATTTGCTCCATCTCCATTATGCATATGTGGTGAAGTCGAAGACCATAAACATTTTTTATTGGGATGTAACAGGTACGATCAAATAAGAAGACACTACCTACAATGTTTGCCCAATAATATTACTTTGGAGTTATTATTAGTTGGAGATGATTCGTTTTCATTGGCTGAAAATAGTTAATATTTCTAGCTGTACAGAATTATATACTTAAAACTGGCAGATTTTCTATAACTGAATAATATGACATGTAAACTTGTACAATATATATCCTACCCCAACCACCTTACTCTAAGGAAGTTTAATCTATTGTTATTTCCATTAATTATTGGTATATATATATGCGTGTGTTGTGTGTATGAATGGTGTTATCACGTACTGAATATATTAGTTGCTGTTTAGTATACTTGGTGATAGGTTTTCATAAGTGTCTGTGACACTTGTTCCTATTTCCCTTTGTCTTCTCTGTTCATTGTAATAACATGCTTAAACTGAAAGAAAAGAAAGTTTAAACTAGATATGTGATGGGTGAACCAGTTCTCCAAAAAACACTAGCTACCCAACTTTCTAGAAGAACTATGTTTCTCCCATATTAAATTATGTATTATAATTAGATGTGCAGGTATGGGGTAGGGGATATATAATTTGTCGGTAGGGATAGGCCCAACCACTCTTGTATATCTCTTACCCTGTTGGAGTACATGGTATTATCCCGGACTTAAATAGCAGGGATTGGCAACACCATTCTCATCTCGCGTATGTATTGTCCACCTCTTGTGTTTGTGCACCGAACCGTGACGACCTGTGACCCTCTCGCTGGAGCCAGTTTACATGTGCTGCGCTTGCGTGCTATCTCACAGACCGGTTTCCGGTATCGATGACCACGTTGTTTACTTAGGTGACGAGGGACCTATAGTGAAACTGATTCGACAGATAACACAGTGTAATCATCGTGGCTTATACTTAAGAAAACGAATTCATACACGTGATGGTGTCGCAAGCTTATCTGTTTATCAGCATCAGGTAAGTGTCTGACTGGATGATAAATCATTGTCAAATATGACTGACTTTTTGTCTCGTGATAGTTATTTAGATTTCGACTTTATAATGCAAGAATATAAAAGATTATGAAAATAAAACTAAACATTTAAGAGGTGATAAAAGACATATATTCAACAAAATATGGATCAATCAACGTCAGCGACCAAAATCGAGATTTATAGGTAGCTATATTTCGAGGGCATACACAGCAAGGTAGAAGCACTGGGATTCGTTACAAATGTCTAATACACACGTACATGTGTTATACTGAAATGGTCACAGCACACATAAACATACATGTGCTCTCCCCGTGGGAGAAGTGACTTTGTCCTATTACATCATTTTAATTTTTAACCATTTATAGGAAAAATTCAGAACATCAGCTGACCTCATACCTTTGTATGTTATTCTTAAGATTTTCAGATTTTGGAATAGGTAATTTAATATATGTTCCTTAAAAATAGAACACTTCTATAAGTTTATATTTCTAGGCAAAAATGTATATCCTTTGTCGTCATTAATATTCTGATACAGAAATATATTCTTGATTTCTGTGACATGATTTCAGTTTAATCTGATAACATGATAGCAAGTCACATTATATTTCGGGGTTCCTACAAAAAAAAAAAAGATATGGTTGAATTCTAACGAATTCATTGAACTAAATGTCAATCATTAGCAAGGATATATATGTATATCATATACATATTTAGGTGAAACTTATTCGCAATTATTCCACATTGTGTTTTTATGCAGCTCCTTTTTTTTCTTTATGTATTCCGAGTTAAAACATGTGACATTTACTCCTTTCTCAGCACTATGAATAAGGCTTAAAATCAAAAAAGTTTGTCTAAACCTGACTTTCCCAAAAATAAACAAAATAGTTCATTAACATTTTGAATTTCATTTAATCATTTTTCGATTCAGCATTTTGTCAATATTCAATGATTATTGAGAAAGTTTTGACTCCATGGAATGAGCTTTGATTCTGTGATCTGAAAGGACATGTCTATTTGATGTTTAATATCTTTCCTGTAATCAAAACATTACACATTGTAGTATCTTTTTTTACCATAATTACATAATAAGCCCCCCCCCCCANATCATGGCTTATTTAGAATTTTAAAAGATTCAGCAAATATTCATATTTTCCCAAATTGTTCTCAATAAATTATTGATACTGGCATCACAAACAACTAGATGTAGATATAACTATGTAACTAGTCTGAGATCTTTATCACCTTCCTTGGATGAAGTGCTTAAGCTTTTTGAGACTTTACTTCTGAGAACTCTTCTTTTGTAAATATATTTTTTCGTGTTTTTCAAGACATTTTTTCTTGGAACTGATTTAGATGTGTCCACTGTGTTAGAAAGAGAACAATTATTAAAGAGGCTACATCCAGTTCGAATAAACCCTGAGCACAGTATTAATACTTGTATACAGATTAAAGTTTGAGGTTCACATATGTAATTGATTATATTTCAGGTTTGCCGTTATATGTTATTATTTTTCTAAATTGATGTGTTTTCAGTTTTTTACTCAGTTTCACAATGTATGTATAGGTATATAAGTAGCATTACTGTTTATGTGAGAAAGTTGGAACATGTTTCATATACATAATACTTAGATAGAACCAGGAGCCTGCAACATATACTTTTACTGTAGGTTCAAAAAATAAAGAGATGCACTTAAACTTATTCATCATTTCAATCACGTAAATTCTCGCGCTTTCTCGCAGTTTCTCGAAACATCAAAGTGCCCGAAACATATTTCCTATGCCGAAGGGCAGTTGCCTTTCCCTCTAATCTAATTGCGTGGTATAATATATATATTTATGCAAATTATAGTCCTGCTACTAATATTTTTTCTATCAAACACAATTGTTTTTACAAAGACTGGTTAATAACATTTCATGTCTGAAGATAGTAAATAGTGTGATTGTTCTAATAACGTGTCTAATAAGTTATTTTGGCTAGACACATTTTATATTCAAAGGTATACTATGTATTGTGATTTTATGAATACTATGTGTCTGCCTCAATCATCAGTAACATGTATATTGAATATATACCCCATACTAGCTACCTGGTTAGTGAGAACGACCCCACCGAGTGAACATCGCCAAAAATTCGTCACGCTCTATTGACCAATGAGAGCGAGTTCACTTGAAACTCTAGGATTAACTCTACAGACCATAGTTTCAACAATGTTACGTCATTTGATCCTTGAACCCTACCCGATACCAACCCATGCTATTCCCGAGGTAAGTAGAGTTCAAAGATGGCGGCGATGGATGGAGAAGAAGAATTGTAAGTTGAAATAGTGCCTTGTTAATTGATATATCACAACAATTAAACAAAATTTCAAAATAATTCGACTCCTTAATAAGCCTATAAGGGGGTCTTGTGTTGATTTGCGCTAATATCTTTGATTTCGTCTGATATGAATGACAATTCTGCCTAAGTAACTGATAAAGTTGTACTTTTGTGCGGTTGTGTACTGAATGCTGCTGTACGGTAAGCAGTTATCAATATTTTGATGATGAATGATTATGTTTTAATCTTCGGAGCTAGGGCTAACGTTAATTAAGGTATTATGCATTCAATTTTCTAGGGTACAGATACAGTTTGAGGAGAACGGGGAAACTATAAGGGCCCTTGTTCCACAGAAGTTTGCTTTAGAAATACAGGAAACACAAACCACTGGTAAGACACTAATAAGCAATAAACGATTAAAGCTTGATTAAACGATTGATTAAACGATTAAAGCTTGGTAATGAATCTCCCATTGATTCATTAAGAGATTAGGTATTTAAAAGTATTCAGTTAATTTTATTTTGAAACCGTACCTATTAGGTGTGTTTTATGGCTATTTCCAGTATAAGCAGGTCCAGTACAGCTATAAAGCTGTTAAGACCTATAATAGCTCTATTGACATATCTGAAATAAAGGTCTTTTGAGCTATTTTCATGTGATTTTCTTATTGAAGGAAAACGAAACGCTTTTAAAATAAGATTTTATCATTAGGTTGGTAACAAAAGACATCAAATTTAAGTATTCTTTTTAAGAAATAATGATGTAAAAAAAAATCGGAAATTTTACATTTATGAAAAATGAAAATAAACATCTAACTATGCATTTTGTAGTCAACATTACCATAAACTTTATTGTTTAACGCGTCTTTGCTTTAATTTATTGAGATTTGAAATCTGAGAAAATATAGCTCAATACAGCTATAACTTATAGGTGAATATAGCTATATAGGTCCTTACAGCTATATAGCTCAATCGGCAGAGTGTACTGGACCTGATAAGGGAGGAGTGGAATCAGAAATGTATAAAACCAAAATGAAACGTTAGGTTCTTCGTGAAATACACTTGCATTAGGCCATATTCATTCATTTTGTTTGATGTGGTAACAGGCTATTTTTAACTCCCTCCATATATATTGCATATTTGAATTTCTGAATCCGTTTTTGACAGATCCTGAAAGACACCAATTTACAGAAATAAAATTATGGCACAAGAAAGATATAACAGCACCAGCGAATCGGATAGGCCTAAATCGGAGGAACCTAAAGTAGGCCTAACAGCCAAAGACACAGTATGTACCAATACTAAGTTGTTGAAGAATATTTCTGATGATAAATCATACATGTATATGGACAAGAACGTCGACAATCTTTTCATATCGTCAGGTGAAGTCACAATTTGCTTGCCATCATTTAACTGCTCACTTTCACAAACTGATAATGCTTCCCGAGACAGTGACGACCTGTTTGGACCTGACAGCACTGCCAACAGCCATGATTCATTCAGGTTGTTTGTGCCACTGGAGGACTAGCAACTCAAGAACATTAGAGTTTCAAATTCAATTGTTTTAACTAGGGAGGAGTTTCACCAAGTTCTTGTTAAAAAAACAAACTCTATTTCAGATTCATGCTGGACAGAGAAGGAAGAGAGGTTCTTCATCCAGCTGAGACTTGAAATGGACTTGAATTGTTCAACGGGAACAAGAGTCATGATCAGCTTTGGGGCAAGATAATGCAGTAGTTGAACAGTGAAGGAATACATGTGACAAAAGTTAAAATTATAAACATGTGGAAAATTTTAAAGAAAAATTATAAGGAAATTTTAGACGAAAATAATAAAATAATAAAACTGGAAACTCACCATATCTGTGAAATATTTTGAGACTTGCAATGCTGCATGTAGAAACAAGGCGTCATCAAAACCGATTTGTTCGGTTGACACTAGTAAAACTAGTCCAATCACCAAAGTTTCCACATCAGTTTCAAGTTCAATAGGACGTTCCCCAACATCTTGTTCACAGACATCCACTTCCAATGGCATTGTCAATTCTGATAATAGTGCTTTTGGGGGGAAGGGAACTAAGAGAAAGAGGGATGCCAAGGAACCAGAAACATCTAAACATGACATTATAAATGTCATGGCTTTACAACGTAAGGAAAAAATGTCACTTATGGACAAAATTTTGAATGTATTCAAAGTGCTAGCTGGACAGGAACCAGAGGCTGAGGAAAGCGAGAGTAATGATTAGTAATGATTAGACAGTTGAAGTTTTATCTGTAAAGTTGTATTATTTTTTATGCAAAGGATGCGGTTTTTGTTTTTTGTTTTTATACACCCACCAACTGTACCGAACATATTTCATTATATAAGTTTGCTATCTGTCATGTGACAATGATTACATAGTTGCACTTTCGTCACAAGCATTGTTATTTTAAATGCAAAGGATGTATTTTTTATGCCTACCAACTGTGCCAAGCCTATTATGTTGTCACGCTATCTGTTCTTGTTTTTACATTACCAATTTAGCATGTGACCATCGAAAATGTAATTCCACTTTCCTCAGTGAAGTACAACTGTAGGTTTTGTCTTGTTGCACTAAGAATTTAATGTTTCTTAGTATGATACTTTGATTTTGTTTTAATTTATAATATAAAAAATCATTTGAAGGTGCCATTATGACAACCGTGCCGTTCAAATATCAGAATCATTTACAAACTAGTTATAAAAATAATAATACAGTACCCACATAGTCAATATTTCTCCTTTTGAAGTAACTTTTTCTCTGAGGTATTATTGGTGTCAGCAGTACTTTTGTTGTTGTTTATGTTTTGTTAAAAAATGTACAAGTGTTGGAAGATTTAAATAAAATCTGAATTTTAAAACATATCCATTTAGTCAGATATTTATATCGAGTTCGAAATTCTATCCTGAAGTCTGATGACACTGACCTGACCTTTGACCCACATTAGATAATTATCTATGTTTATGAATATATCCTGGGATGACCGAATATACATAATAAGATCAATTTATCACTGGTTTTGTCCTACAGCAGATAATACTTAGTAGAACCGTGAAACCAATCTGATGCCTGGGTATATTGCGATATGCTGTCAAATCCAACATAACACCCAATCCCATTTCTCAATAAATAAAAATATAACCTGTGTATAATGACAGCATGTCTTATCTGAGATGTATGTCTGATCACACAGGGTGTTGCATTAGACAGGTTTCACTGTACCAGATGCTTTGATATTGTTTCAAAATTGTGAATTAATATATAAATTTACTAATATTTCTTGTTTTATAGAAACATGTAAATATGTTTACATTTTGCATAACAAAAGCCCAGGTCAGCTATTTAAATGAAAATATTGAATAAGCGCAAACCATGTAATAAGACATGCGTGTTCATATATTTTCATCATAACAATATTCACTCTCCATCTGGTACAATATTACAACAAAACAGTTTTCATTTAATGTAGGGCATTCATAAGCTGCTGTCTTCTATCAAGGCCACAAGCACCGTTTGGAAAGATGTCCGGGAAATTATTTGCATGATTGTCTTGGTTGTCATTCTGATCTATGTATGCATCCACAAGGTCGTGACTCAAAATACATAAATTGTGTAAAATACACCCACACACAATCAATGAAACCATTAATTGTGGCTCATGAACGGTTACCAGTAGCAGTCGCCTGAATCTTCCCTTAAGATGACCAATCGCTCTCTCAACAGTTTGACGTCCGGATGACAGAACACGGTTGAATCGTCTTTAAATTTTGTGCAAGGTGACCGTTATCTTTAAAAGGTGTGACCAACCAGTTTTTCAAAGGGTAAGCACTATCAGCTACAATAATCTTTCCTGGTGCTAAGTATCCACCTGCTTCTGCATTCTGATACAAACCAGAATTTCTGAAAACTCTCGCATCATGAGCACAACAAGCCCAGCCTGTGTAGCAATCAGTTATCATTAGATTACTGACCACAACAACCTTGAAAATAATTAAGACAAATGTGTTACAATATTGGTAGAGCTACACATTTTATCTTAAAACAAGACCAACAATCCAACTTACCTAATCTTGATATACATTTTGATAAAACAACATGTTTTTCAGCTACTGTGACATTTTATTACAATATTCATGATTGTGATATTTTATGTAAAATCAAACAAACCTGCAGTTGAATTGATGGGTAAGATTTCCTGTTTATGAAGTCCTGATAAGCGAATGTGAGTCCCGTCTAAATAGCCAATAATATCAGACAAACCATACCGTAATTGGAGATCTCGGGCAATCTCGATCTGGGCTGCAAAATCAGGCCATTTGATAACCTGAAAATAAATAACATTAAATATATATGTCTGATTATTCGAAGTTCTCTGTAAAAAAAAGGATAAATCTGACCATAAAACAGCATTTATGAATAAATGCATACCTTCAGAGGTTTGTTGATAAAAAACATCAGAAACTCTTCCAATGGTGAGGTGTACCGTCGATTTGCCTATTCCAAAGTATTGTCCGATCTCCAGCACACTTTCTGTATTTGCCATGTAACATAAAAATATATATAATTGTTTTGCTGGCGCTATTTGGTCGTGTCCTCCACGATGAACAAATGTCAATGGTCTGTTTATTTCAAATAAAATTCTCTCGAACATGTCTTTGTTAACTCGATAATGAGTAACGTAATCTTCGCTAAGAAAACGAGGTAGTACATCTTCAGTATATCCATATATTTTTGGAAGACTGGGTCTGTTGATATTGTTCATCATCATGAATCATCAAATATATATACTCGGATACGAACTCTAGTCGGGGGTTTATCGTTTTCTTGATACCAGCCACATCCGTGTCTAATAATAGATTGTGATTTCACTAGGGTTAACCCTAGAGTTTCAAGTGAACTCGCAAAAGATGTTACCTTACTGGGACATGTACACGTGCCCGCTTGTGTATTTGCTATTTTTAGCTCCGTGTACGACTTTGTGTTCATGTGTCGGATATCTACAGTAGTTGACAGCGGTCCGCTCTGTTCTATACACCATGGCCTCCTAAACCCCTACCCCCACCAAGCATCAGTCTACATCTAGCATTGTTAGTGAGGCACATACAGTGATATGTGAAGGTGTTTCAGAGGATTCCACGCCTGTTATGAAGCAAATGACTGAACTTTTTAATAGACTAGATACCCGTCTTACCCACATTGAAAACTAAGTCATAACGATTGATCAAGTCCAGAAGGATATTACCTCTTTAACATTCCAAGTTCATCAGTTAGAACATGAGATGAAGAATATTGACGTTAAGAACAGGGAAATTCATGATTCTGTGTCCAATGTTATCAGGCAGTCCAATGAAATGGAAAAGGATGCCCAGGCCCTGAGTGATATGTATGACGATGAGAAGTCTTGTCTTGATCGGAACAATATTACTTTGGCCAATCTCAAAGCTGCTGAAAACAATAATGTAGTTGACACTACTAAAGTCCTAGACGATTTAAAAGAGCTCGGTACCGAGGGAACCAAGTTGAAGGATCTTGTGATCGACCTGCAATACAGGTCCATGAAGAACAACCTCATAGTCCATGGACTACAAGGAGAAAATCAAGGGGAGGACACTGAGGCTAACCTGCGTGATTTCCTTTATTATGAGCTCGGGATTGATTCACATATAGATTTTGGGAATGTGCACCGTTTTGGCAAGTTTGTGAACGGCAAGCATCGACCTATAGTGGCTAGATTTATTCACCACAATTATCTAGAACTTGTTCGAGACAGTTCTTCGAAACTGAGGGGTTCTGGATACTGGATTAACGAATAATTTCCAGCGGATATTGAGGACAGACGGCGCAAGTTGTACCCTGTGCTTAAGCATTACAGAAGTGAAGGGTTAAGTTGATACGTGATCGACTCTACTGAGACGGCCCTCCTACGTGTAATAGTGATATAGCTTCTGCATTGGATAACAAGTGCAGAGCGGTGCTTGTCATGCTGGCCTTGTTAGCTGCATTTGACGTCATCGACCATGCCATACTTTATAAACGTCTGGAATACTCTTATGGAGTTACTGATACCGCACTTTGCTGGATACAGTCATACCTATGTGAACGACGACAGTGTGTTGCCATCGGATCTGCCACCTCACATGACAAAGTACTAGATTTCGGGGTTCCTCAAGGGTCGGTGTTAGGACCACGAAAATATTGTATGTACTCCAAACCGATTGGAGAGATTTGTCGTCGCCATTGCCTTCGCTATCATTGCTATGCTGATGACACTCAAATTTACATGGTCATAAAACCACAGGAGAGTTGGAAGACAGTCTCAGGAAGTCGGGAAGCTTGTCTGACAGATGTCGGTATCTGGATGAACGCCAACATGCTTAAACTTAATCAGGAAAAGACTGAACTAATCGTCTTTTCCCCAAAGTGTCAGCAATCAGTGGCTCTCCAGCTCAAGGTGGGTGCCAGAACTATTGAGACTGTTCCAGCTGTTAAAAATCTAGGGGTATACTTTGACAGTTCTCTGAACATGGAGAAACAAGTGAACGCGATTGCAAAATCCTGTTACTACCAGATCAGGAACATCGGCTGTATTCGGTAGTTTCTAACTGCAGATGCATGCAATATTTTGGTGCATTCACTTATTACCTCTCGGTTGGATTATGGTAACGCCCTGCTCTGTGGTATATCTGGCAAACTAACTAGTCGTCTGCAGAGGGTTCAGAGCACTGCAGCACGGCTAGTTACTCGTACTCGAAAGAGAGAGCACATCACACCTGCGCTTTATTCGTTGCACTGGTTACCTGTAAGATACAGGTCGCAGTACAAAATTCAAATACAAGGCACTGAATGGAACAGCTCCTCAGTACCTTCAGGAACTTGTTACCCTGTATCAGCCGTTAAGATCACTGAGGTCGGAGTCAGAATCTTTTTTGTGTGTCCCAAAATCTCGTACTGTGACCTACGAAAACAGATGCTTTGGGAGGGGTTCCGCTACGTTGTGGAATAGCTTACCATCTGCTATTAGGAAGTCGAATACTTTGGCCAAGTTCAAGAGGGACATAAAAACTCACCTATTCACGTCTGCATTTTAGAATCTTTGCAAAGACGTCATGTAAATACCACCCTTTTATTTGTTCAATTATGTGCACATTGCTTGTTAAATGTATGAAAGTGATTGCAAGCCTTTGTTGTTTGTTTTCACAATTATAACCATTACTATTATCCATATGTTGTGAAGCGCCTTAGGGTAATTTTACAAATTATATAGGGCGCTATATAAATGCTGTATATTATTATTATTATTATTAATGGTAAGCTCTATCATGACGCCCCCTCCGGACCGGACTCCGACTTCTGGTCAACGCCATTCCATGCGTCAGCGTCGATTTACAGCTACACCTACGCACTCGCTCACATAGGGGTGTCGGGGAGTAACATGTGTCTGATACCGATATCAGAATGATTTACTTGAACGTAAATGGTGGCTTAGAAAATAAACTAAAAGTTGCTGAATTCCGTAATGTTATACTTTACTATGATATTATTTTTTTAACGAGCGTTTCTAGTTTTGAACTGTGAGAGCTATATATACACCGGGTACTACCGGAAAAGACGATTCCGCCGGAAAGCATATCTAAACATGAACGTAAATGGTGGCTTAAAAAATGAACTAAAAGTTGCTGAATTCCGTAATGTTATACTTAACTATGATATTATTTTTTTAACGAACGTTTCGAGTTTTAAACTATGAGAGCTTTATATACACCGGGTACTACCGGAAAAGACGAATCCGCCAGAAAGCATATATAAATACGACGGGTAC